TATTAAAAACGGCTGTAACAGAGGTGTTTTTTTTACACTTTTGCATCGATCTACTGCTTGCTAGCAGTAGATCGATGCAAAAAAACCCGGAGGGTTTAATAACCCTTTAAGTGTGGAGAAGGAAATACCTTAAGTGGGTACTGGGAGAATATGTGGTAATTTGCAACAATATGAAAAGGTAAACTAAGTAATAAAAACAGCGAGCCAAGTTTAGGAAAAACTAAAACAACCTCAGGCAGCACATAATTTGAATGCATAGTTACATAAGTTGAAAAAAGTCTTACCAAGTTCAACCTACAGAGAAAAAAAAAAAAAACTTCCAAAAAACAGAACTCTATGTTAATCCAGCAGAAGGCAAACCACAGTATAAAACATGGTTCAATTTGTTCCAAAATGGGGGGAAAAAAAATTCTTCCTGATCCCATAAGGCTATCTCCCTGAACCCACAATCTGGTGATTTTTCTTTATAAAATGTTAATATCTAGTAATTATCTGTGCCTTTAGGAATACACCCAGATGTTTTATTCTTAAACAGTTAACTGAGCAAGTTGGCCCCCGTGGAATTATTCCACATTTTCACAGATCTAACTGTGACAAAGCCTTTCCGTATGCAAAGGTGAAACCAATTTTCTTCCAGACAGAGTTCTCCGTTTTTTGCAGTGACTTTAAAGTGAATAATTTTTCACCAAACTCAATATATGGACCGTTTATGCATTGTGATCATATCCTCCTTAACCGCCTCTTCAGGAGAGAACAAATTCAGTTCAGCTAATCTTTCCTCACAGCGGAGCTCTTCCATGCCTCTTATCAGTTTAGTTGCTCTTCTCTGCATTGGTTCCACAATATCCATGCAACTGAGCTGCATAATCCAGATGAGGTCTTACTAATGCTTCGAGCATCTTCAGAAACAATGCTATAAAAAGAGCAGGCATATGGGTATTCGAGTACATATAGCACTTAAAAGGAAGTGTGGGGGGATTATAGTACAGTTATTTCAGATATGAACAACAAAGTCCTAGAACAGAGCTTTTTTTCATTAAATTCAAAGAACTAGATCTAAAGAATGTTACATGGTACATACAGGTGTGTGTACTCAGCACTCAAAGTAATCAAAATTCTGCACTTCAGCATCAACAGACTGGCTCTGTCCCAAGATATCTGCTAGCGATAGTCCCATTGCCCTCATAAGAAAGCACCAATACCAATCTGCCAAAAGCTTTTGTGTGTACTTGTGCCAAGAACAAAATAGAGTGTGTGGGCGCACAAATGTCAAAGTACGACCTGACAAAGTATTTCATATGGTCCAACTGATCCACTTGACGCATTCAACTTACTTATACATTTATTCAACTGGTGGACGAACTGTCTGACAAGTCTTTTTCAAGATTTCTATCTCAGTCTTTCCGTGTCCATTGACAAAAGTCAACTCTGAGCTCATTTGTCAACTAGCTGTATACAGATATATCTGTTGAACCAAAGAATGATGACGCCAAGCATTTCTACTCCCAGAGATGATATATAAGCTTTGAATTTAGTAAATGTGAACAGAACAAAATAACTTTCACTCTACAGACCCAATTAAGGAGGACACGAAATACTACTCAAAGGGAAGAGTTTGCCTTACAGTGACACTGCCATAGGAAAAATATGGGGGCTGCCAGTGCAGACATTTTTTAAATGTTAGTTACTGGGCAGGTTCGGGAGTCAAAACCTTTGAGTCACAGACTTCGGACGTACATGCTGTAAAATCAGTGCAAGAATACCTTATTTTTACCAGGTCAGAGATACAGGAAGTACTGGAACCCGAACCAAAGCACCTGGATAACAGCCAGGCAATAAACACTCCCAAAAGAGACCAGCAATGGCAGTCCCCAGGACAGAGTCACTTTAAAGAAAACCTGTGGTGAAGGCGCATGGAGGCTGCCATAGTGGATTCTTTTTCTGAAAATACTAGTTCCTACTGTCATGCCAATTTAATTGTAGCCAACATTGACCGGACGCCCTACATGTCTTGGGGTTGACATATAAGCTCCCTGCCAGACATCAACTTGCAAGCAGCCGGCTTTCTATTATTCCCTTGGTTGGCTCTTGTACTTTCTTTAGTATGAGTGGGCATGTGGGGAGGAATGCTTGAATGACCACAACGCAGCAGGAACCCCCCTGTAACTGCTGCAGCATACAGAACAGGCAATTTACATGCAGTAACTGTGTTAGTGATGTCTCTGCTGCTAGACTATGTAAGCTATAAATGTTGCCCTTGCCATGTCCTGCTTATGCTGCCATGAAGATAGGGGATTTCTTGGCACCTCTATCAGCACTGTACTAGTACTGATGTGGTCCTCTGCCAGGCCAGTGTAAAAGCACAGCACTGAATGATGCAATATGACAAGGGAGCTCTCCGCTTCCCTATCATGGCTGTACTAGTGCAGTCATGACTTTCAGCATGAAAATTTATATTTTTATTGACCACTTCTGTATGTCACTTTGAGGGGGCAGTGCTGATAGACTTGTTGAAGGCATTGGCATGGAAAGCCAGATAATGGCTAAAAGCAGGACAGGCCTAGGTGATTTGCAGACGGTATTCCACCTACTAAAGGCAGCACTGACACTGTACCTCCTTGAACTATGAGGTGTTAACATGACTGATTACTGTGTACAATAGAGACAGAAGGGGCAACTGGTCAGAGATCAAAAAGACTCACGGGCCATGTTTCAGGCAGATTAGAGGCAAAGCTACTAAATTTATTATAGGAATACATTTTTGGGTGAAGTCAAGGCTATGGCTTTGGAATTGGAGCATTTTTAGAGCATTAAAAATTTAACTTTAGCATGGGCCACATGTACACTAACAGATTTATAAAACAGCTAACAGCAGTGCACTGTGCTGCTGCTGTGTGGGGACCTGAATGGAGCATATGCACTGTACACTCCACAAAGTAAAAAAAAACAGTGAGCGCTCCAGCAATGTGATACAACCCACACTGCCGGAGCTGCCACAGCACACTAGCCTGCCTGGTGAAATGCAGCGTTTTGGTGGACAGCTATGGTGAATAGGTCCCAACCATACTTTAAGTGGAAGCACTTTCACCCTTTAAGCTTTAGTGTGACTAAAGCACATTCACCAAAATACCACTATATTTCTTCAGGGTTAAGCACCATTAACTTTTCAAATGATCTCTAGACCAAATTCTGAAGAGGTGCTCAAAAAGTGGATTAAAAACAAAAACACAAAAACAAAATATCTTAAAATATTAAATAACCTAAAAGAATAAAAATGGCTTTAAATTGACAAACTGTGGGAGAGTTAAAGCCCCTTTCAGGCTGATTGCTGTGTCTCCCCTGGGGAGATTCACCCTCTCCATTTCCCTGATTATTGTCATTAGAAAAGAGTTATGGGAAATCCAAAATCTTACAATTGTCATAAGAACCTAAACAGATGGAACATTTTTCAATAAAGTACACTCCTCTTCTGGTGAAACTATGGAGACATTTCCTTTTACAATTTAATCTACAACTGGGACAGAAAGTAAAGGGGCCGTGTCCCCAATGGCAAACAAACAGCAAACCCCGACAGCAGCTTTAAACCATTCCCTACTTCATCCAAAAGCTAAAAAAAGAAGGTTTTACACTTAGACCAATGTTTAAGATTTAAAAATAACTATCAGATTTTCACAGTCATCTTTTCCAAGTATGGTAGTGATCTATTACAGTAGTCATATGACAATGCTGATGAATGGTGTTCCCAACTCCTACTTTAACGTGCAACAGATCACCACCATCTTTATGAAAATTATTCTTGCACAAGGTCTAAAAAGATAAGATACAAAAGCTGACCCCTAATAGTAAATAAAACAAAAGCATTTTACATTGATATGCCATCACTTTTTTTGCATCTAACCCAAGAAAATCCACTGTGTTCTAGCCAAAGAAATGTTAATCCACATATTTACAATACTTTGAAAGGGTTAAATATTTCAGAATGGTTTCATGACATTTACAGTTTCATAATCTGGGAAAGTCTGTCATACAAATAAAAGTGAAAGCCCACAGGGTGTAAAGATGTTCAGGTTCCCGGCGAGAGTTCTTTACCCTAGAAATTCCTGCTCAGACACGCTGCTAGTTACTAATACATGACCAAGTGCCTGGGTTTCCTGTACAACATAGGGCTCACTGGCCTTCCTTGGGAAGAACTTTTAAGAGCTGAGCCTTCATAAAAATAAGCACATTTAGGCCTAAGTTTCACGTTCTAAGAAAAAACTAAATATCCAATAACGCTCAACAGAAAAGGTCGGCTAACGCAAATCCCATCATAGATTTATGCAGTTATGGAAAGGAATGATGTGATGTTCTAGCTGGATAATTAGCATCTGTGGAGTTGGAGTAAAATGCCATTTTGCAATACCAATTGGTTGTAAACGATGGAAGGCGCAATTCACAAGGTATAAAAGATTGTTATGCCATAACAAGCATCTGAAAACAACAATCACTATGGAAAACTCCACAAAGTGTTCTAGCTTAGCAAACTAGTCCTCAACTGTGCCTGTTGTCCGGGAGCTCAGTGGAATCTCAAATATTATCAGATGCAGGAGGAAACATGCACTAGATACCTATTTTTACCAGCATATTCCTCCGTGGATCATGTAGTGATCGCAAAGTACAGGAAACACCTTTTTAGGTTTCCTACTGTATGAAATCTAAAAAAAGTTCCCCTGTGACAACAGAAATCAAAGCTTCACATTTAGAAAACAAAATGTCAGCAGTTTTTATACAATGCACAAAATATAATAATTCGACCCTCCTGCTCATATTTTGATTCTCTGTATTTTTACAGTGCAAAAACTTTGCAAAGCAGGAAGTGATATGTATAGTGAGGCAATGAGGGGACAATGAGGTAGACGATGGGGCACAGTTTTTCAAAATTAAGAAATAGGCTCCTTACTGGGAAGAAAAAAAATATCACAAGTAATCATAAGTTGGTTTGTAGTACACCTGTATTTTACCTGTGGGTTATTGGCTTCCACCAACTTGCACTGTCTCAGGAAGAGTTTCAGATTGCCCCAGTTCATGTAAGGCAGCAATACCATAGGCTTTTCTCCATCCTCTATACAGACATGTCCAACGGGAAGTAGGTTCCTAAATAATCAAAAAGGAAAAAAAATTAAAAACGGGAATACTATAAAGCATCAGCCTCTTCGCTTCACTTACTATGTGTCAGTTTTCATATGTGTTTATGACTGTTGGCTTAACCAAGTTTCATCAGCAAAAGAGAAGTAAAGGCAAACCTTCTCCTATTGGGAAAGCCACGGGTGTGGCTGGGCAGAGACTGAAAAAGGCACCGGATGCTCACATGCATCCACAACACATCTGAATGTAGCCTTAAAGTGGAACTATACTTAAAATCTAAAAATCCAGCTTACTAACAAGGATTCATTCCATATTCATGTGACAAAACAACATGAATAAAAATAAAACAAAAACATACATATCCTGATCAGAAGTAGCACAGCACTCTTGCACATGGGACAGTGCCTACCCTTCATTCTAACATGACAAGAAGGCATATCCCACACTCTGCTTCTGATTACATTGATGGCATCATCAGGGGCTACCTCTGGAATCAGAAAGTGCTGTATTGTGATAACTTGCACCTTCACAAATAAGATGGCTTGCTGGCAGCCGCAAACAGCACTGCATTGCATGAAAAGGTGGGCCTAGGCAAAAGAACGGCTGCAAAGAGACTATAATAAGTGTTGTACAGTATGAACAAATTGTCTCGTCACTGTTTGAAGGGAAAAAATGCAAAAGTCTAGGTCCGCTTTAAGTGTCTGAGTTGTCCGCATCTACCTGGTGCAAGCTGCCATCATTTTGCTGGTCTATCAGTTCTGCAATTAGGACCCAAAGTAGTGTAAAAGCACCAAAAGAAACTAGATGGCTCATCTTTTAGATGTAGTTACAGCAATGGGATACTGATCAGTTGGACTATAAACTAATACCGACTGCAGCAGATGGTCTTTAGGGGAGGACCCTCTAAGATGTTGGATTCTTTTGTGCCCATGTTAAAGTGTATCTAAACCCAAGAACAAATATGCAATATATTGTACCTTAACAGTCCTTAATGTGGTGGTTGTATTGATATTCACTTTCCAACCCTGTGTTTCATTATTTTTACCTGGTAAGCCTGCCAGTAGCACATTTCCTGTACTAGGGGGACAACACTCACTAACTGTACCAAGTCTGTAGAGGAGCCACATTGTCAACTAAGGACAGACTATACAACCCCTCCTCTTCTCTTCCATAATCTATAGAGGTGTTTAGTAGCCCACAGCAAGTTCATGGAACAAACACAACCAATAGCGTAGTACAGGCATAAAAAAACAGGAAGTCAGCAGCTCACAAAATGTTTGGAAGATCAATTTTTTTTTTTTTGCATTTTGTTTGTGTTGATCTGATAAACACTTTTAATTGGTACATTTAAAACAGAGTAAAAGGGTGCAAATAAGAAGTTATTTGTTTGCTTTACACACACTTAGGCCTTGTTCACACCAAGCGCGGAGCAGGTGAAGAGCAGTTACAGACCGGATCAAAACTGCGTCCAATGTATTCCCATGGTATTTTTTGCTCCAGTTCACATCGCAGCATGCAGTTCCAGAGCAGGTGAAAAAACTGCAGCAAGCCCTATTTTACCTGCTCTGGAACACATGCAAACGCATCAAAAACGCATGCAAATGCCTGGAACGCACTGAAAGCCCATGTTAAACTAATTTCTTTTTTAAAACCAAAAACGGCCCGGAAAGCATAAAAAATGCAGCTTAAACCCACTGCACTGCGTGTGCAGAAACCTGAGCGGATCTGCTCTGCATTTGATGTGAACAAGGCCTAAGAGTGGCATTGAGGAAAACGGCAGCATTTCGGGGAAGGGACATTCATGATATGTTTCCCGTTAGAAGAAGCAATGAAACTCAGGAGTAAATACAACTTGCAGGTCTTTGCTTTAAAGAGGTTACTTAGAGTTGGTGGATGTTTCCAACATCTGCAGATGTGTGCAGCATTGCTAAATGTACTCTACAGCAGGGGAAGAGAAATTGGCATTTCTTCAGAGTTCAAACCTGGTACACTAACACTGAACCTCTCCCCACAGGGCAGAATTGAGTTAAACAATCACATCAGTATTTAATGTGTCCTCAAAACAGAAAAAATTATTTCGAAATACGTGCCCAGACACAGTGAATTTGCCTACGGCTAGAAAAATATATGTATAAAAAACAAACCATCACTGAACAGAGTAAACAGTATTAGAATTCAATAACCAAGTTTGGTATATACAGAAGCAAAAAAAAAAAAATGTATTGTTCTGAGGATTCTCCAAAATGTCACCCTGTTGATGTTACTTATTTCTGAAGAAACTGCATCATTCTCATTTGATGGGGGTTAGCCATAAGAGTACACTGTCCATGGGATTGGAAGTCATTGTGGAATCCTAATACATCAGTTTGGTGTTATCTGCACACATTAAAGTTCATTTACTAATGGAGTTGAGAATCTTCACACAACAAAATGTGGATGTTCTCTTCAATTGTCCAATTATGTAAAAAGCCAAATCCTGATGACACATCTGGACATGGAGTATTCAAAGTGAAAAGGAATTTTCACATGACTGGACTATTGAAGTGTTTATTGTATGAAGAATCTTTTCTGCTGCTACTCGTCTCTACTGAAAAAAAGATTGTTGACTGGCAGTAGGATCAAAGCTTTTGCATTAATACTTTGAGTTACTGACTTGGATATACGTATCAGGATATTTGAGTTTATGATAACACATTTCTGCATGCTTGCTTTGAGTGACTGTAGTTCTGAGGCCAGACAACTACCTTGTTATAAACAAAAAATAGATGATACAACCAGCGCCAAATGCAACCAAACAAGCCCTCCTGTGGCCCAAAGAGAGAAAACAGAAATCCAGGAGGCTGCCCCGCAACAGACAAGGGATCCGGGAAACTGAAAAAGAAAACCCCGAGCGCTGATGAAGGGGAAGTTCCTCGAAAAAGCGTTCAGCTTAGTGGCAAGTGAGACTCACTACGAGTAGAGCTCCTAGACATTGATACCTTTATGCAGTGGTTCATCCAGTGAGGACTACAAGTCCAATGTGTCACTGTTCTTGCTCCATTTGTGAGCATAAGTGTCTTGCTTGGCATGTAATGAGTCTCATATATTAGTGTCACCTTTTAAGTTGCATTAGTGAAATAAATGAACTTTTGCACGATATTCTAATTCGAGTTACCTGTATGCAGTTTTTTCAATAAAAGGATTATTGCACCAGGTTAGGCGCCTGATGTTTTCTTTCTTTCATGCAATTACCTTGTTATGCCTGTGTCTACGAAGACTTAAAGTCTCCACAGACAAGAAACCATCTTTGCCCAAGGCAGATAATGGTCAGATTGGAAAACCTGTATGTCCACAAGCAGATTGCGCCCTTTGCAGACAACCCCTAATAATCCAACCAGGATGGATTTGCCAGGCTCATCACTATTGCTTCCTTTATTCTGGCACTGGGGAAGTCTGCACAGTGCATAAACCTCAGACAGCACAAGCTTCTTTATGCCGCGTTGATGGTATAGGAGCCAATATCTGTGTTCATTCTATAGGACAAGTTTACATAACACTGTTTTCAAATACAGACACACACACACACAAAAGGTGCTCATTCAGGGTAAAATGACACCACAGAAATAAGGATTTCTTTAACTTACCTGCACAATCCTTTTCTGGGAGTACATTATGGGAGACAGGGAAATATTGAGGAACATAGGGTTATGCTGCCTTCTGGAGATTGGACACTGGGAAAGCAAGGCTCAGTTTTGTAGCAAGCAATAGAAGAAGTGTATCAAAAGAACAGAGAGGAGGGACATGTAGCATGTACTTCAAGAAAAGGATTTTACAGGCAAGTCAACAATCTTTTGTAAACCATATATTATGGGATACAGGAGAGTATTGTGGAACATAGGAACGTCCAAAAAGTCCAACAGAAGGGTGAGAAACAAAGCAAACAATGGCTTAACAGGCCCAAGGAAATAAACACCAGGTTAACAGACGTGGCTCCAAACAAGCCTACAGAGCCTACTAAAGAACCTTATGACCAAAGCTGGCCTCAGCTGAGGCCTGAAGATCTATATGGTAAAAAAAACAAAAAAAAGAACTTAATGTGCAAGTGAACAGAAGACCAAGTGGCAGCCTAGCACATTTGAAAAACAGAGGTCTGCTGGTGGAAAGCCCAAGCACTAACCGACCAATCCGAGTGTGTCTTCACAGAGAAAGGAGGGACCCTGTCATGAAGCGCAGACCTGAATGATAATTTGACTAACCCACCTTGCGATAGTGGAATGAGAATCAGGCAGTCAGTCACTTACAGGGGCACTCCGGAAGGAAAAGCGAGTCAGACTGAAGGGGGCTGTGGTTAAGGGGTATACCAAATACAGAAAATGTTGAGAGATCTCCTTAGTATTCTTCAGAGTTGGACAGAGATGAAAGAACAATGTCCTGGTTAGCATAGATGGAAGAAACCACCTTGGGATAAAAAGAAGCCCCGAGTTTTAAAACAACCTTACCCTGTGCAACACAATGAAATGGTTCTTCACAGGTTAAGGCAACCTTCTTAGAAACTTGTCTTGCGAGTTGATGGCAATAGGAAAGGTCACCAAAAGGATATCCCTAAAGGTGCCCATACACTGCACGATTATCGTACGATAATCGTATGCGATCGGGTTTTCGTACGAGAATCGAGCAGTGTGAACGGAGACGTGCGACCGTTTCTACTGTACGGTCGCACGTCTTCTGTCGAACCAGCATGTTCGAAAACCAGCCGGGAATCGTACGATTCTCGGCTGGTTAGAACGGTGCTCGGAAGATAAATGCTGAACGGGCCGGTGTGCGCACGCGCACACTGCCCGTTCAACATTGCGGTCATCGGAAGCCCGCCCCTCAGGAGGGCGGGCTTGCGATGATCGAGAGTGCGATCTGCCTGTCCAAGATAGGCAGATCGTACGTTTTTTTAATCCCTTTACAACCATCGCAAGACTAAAGTCTTGCGATGGTTGTAGAGTGTATGGCCACCTTAAGGGGTCCAAAGGGTTTTTTTTGGAGGGCTGACAGAACCTGGTTCTCACGGAATCACAGGAGGGATGATATGAGCAACCCACTGTATAAAGTTTTCCACTAATGAGCAAAAGACAAATGGCCATTGAAAGAAGATGATCAAGGCTGAGATTGAGGGTAATCAAAGCTGAATGCTGATCCAAACCAGGAGGTCCAATTACCACCTGGAAAGGAGCTGCCCCAGGGCAGCAAAAAGGTCAGCCTGCCTATGCAGGGATGTAGGCAAGAGGAGGACACGAAGCAGGGTGGAGGCAGGGACTGAAATTCCAGCTTGTAGCCTCTGAACACCACATTCTGGTGGCATGTTTCTAAAATGTCTTAGGATCAAGGGACCGCAAGAGCTAGCAGATGCCTCCCCCACTTTAAGTGGGGGCGTCCCTACATTGGGAGCAGGTAGGTTTGGAGAATTTGATGGGCCAGGGCTTGCAGTGGAACTGCACTCGAAGCGTTGCCCTAGACTTGGGGATCTGGGAGGGATGAAAAAGAACTCAGGATAGAAGTTTAGGGAACTTAGGGATAGAAGATAAGGGTTTACCTGAAGGGGGTATTTACCCTTTAACACAGCGGTTCAATAGATAAATTGTAAAGGACTGCAAACTTATACATTTGTACTTTTACAGTTATATTATTGCATAAGCCCCTATGTGGAAAAGCACAGTTTCCCATGATCTCACTAGTGTAACATAGGTAAAGAGTTCATCAGTAACTGGACTGGGAAGAATGGGTGTGAAAGAAATAATTGAACTACTAGAAGCCATAGCGATGACAGCTGTGAACTTGTAGGAGAAGTAAAATGACAGCTCTCTAGGCAGAATGAGCACTGAAGCCATTGAGTTTCATCAGCGCACGTAGCTGGATGGCACAGAGGTAACGCTCTGTATTTAAACACAGCCTTGTATTTTCAGCTCTTAATCCACTCTCAATTATTGAAGAAAAATACTCCAAGCAGATCCTAACATGCAGGATCACATGTATTTACTGTAACACAAAGGGGGGATTATACTTGTGTTTTATAGTTTGTAAAGTTGACAGTGATCAGCATCTTCCTGTGTCAAAAGGCACAAAATCCACCTATATAAAGCGAATTCAGATGACTCTAAAGCTAGATTTCTCTTCAAGCTGTATGACTTATTTAAAAAATAGGGAGTAGGTCATATAGATGACAGCAGGGGTATTCCCAACCAATCACCTGTTTCCTGAAACAAACTTGAGCCTTACTCATCTAGTGTGCAAACTGAAAAATTTATTTAAATTTACCAAATCCGAAAGGAAGCAAAGTCTTAAGGAGTGAGTTTAACTCTCTGTACTTCAATTGAGGAGTCAGAAACTTTGTGAAGCCCGATCCCTTACAAAATTAGATGTGTCAAGAATGCTTGCTAGAGAAGGTTCTGTCACAGTGCCTTACAAAAATCAATAGGCAAACATAGAAGCACCTCCACAATTAGACTGCCTTTTAAAGAACAGCTCAAGCTTCACAGACTCCCAAGGAAGTCAAAGAGCTGAGGCTAGTAAATTCTTTCAACAGCCTCCCCCTTACGGAAACTTAAAGGAAAACTATGGCTTCCCATTAAAACAAATGTGCTGCAGCACTTAAATTTAGCCTTTGTCCCCTTCAAAACCCATTGATCCTGCCCGTGGAGTCCACCTCATGCTGTTTCCAGTAATGTAATGACAACACTACTGCATTGGTCCCCAGCCTTCTCACACATTGGCTGTGCTAGCTTGCACTACAATGGGATGATAAGACATTGCATAAGGCGTGGCTATCAGCATCGTCAGCGATGACTAACCACTTCAGAACCGCAATATGTACAGTATATAAACAACACAATCCTGAAGCTCTACAGCTGCCCAACCACTTGTATGCAACTGACATGGCGGGGTGCCTGTGGCTGGATCAGCATACTTCCAGTGTCTGTTCTTTCGCCTGATCACTGACACCGGAATAAAGTAGGATTTTGTCCCTTCTGGTTTCAAGCGGTCATTTCTCTGGCTGTTGTGGCTGGAGAAGAAGCTGATGAAGCATGATCTGTGCTTCTATACAGATTTATTTTGTATTTATCTCAGCAATCCTCAGGAAACAGGCCTGCCAAACATCAAACTACATGGCATAACGTCTGGAACAACAAGAAAAATCCCACAGCACTGCACAATAGAGCATTGTTAAAATGATCACCAGAAAGCAATTTGTAAAAGCTGCACCAATTCCAGGGTAAGGTTCTCAATATAAGCAGCCTGGCTAGAAGATCTACAGCTACTTGGGATTCCAGCTAACATGAAGTTTATCAAAGTAAAAGCTGGAAACAGAAAAGAAGATCTCCAGGCATACAGCTATATACATATTGTTCATCCACCTAAACCTGAAAAAAAAAAACTATTTGTAATTTTGTTTTTCTACACGGAGTTGCAGGCCTTTGCCAAGGTAAATGCTAATAAAAAACAAACAACAACACATACTAAGAGCTATACCAGGACTTACCTGTGGTGTAGGCCTCTCAGTTTGCAGCATTCAGTCAGCATCATGGTGATTTGTACCTCAGAAGCTTGATCTAAAACAAAAAAAGAAAAGTTTTGGTATATGGTATTTTCAGAAAGAGAACTATTAAATGGCAACAATGAGAAGGGTTCAAGCAATGTGTTGGTTCAATCACAACATGTGTTATCAGCAAGCAAGTGCCACTAATGCTACTTTCAGGATGGCTTTATTATATACATATAGTCTTACTGAAAACCGAGTACTGCTGCATGCCCTACAAAATTAGGTAGTTATCGCACAAATCACTGAAAAATGAATCACAATGATAGCAAATGGGACAAATAAAAGGTGTTTAGAAATAACCTGTGCAAGAAATTAACACCATGCAATAACTAAGTGCAATATTCGAGCTTTCCAGCTTCTACCATGACTTAGCTCAAGGGAACTTTATTGCCTTTGATTTGGTAAAGGTGATTTTGCTAGGCGTGCTGTAAACTAATGCAATCACTGAGGAACAAAAACATCCAAACTATGGCTCTGATAGGAACAGTCGGAATGACAAACAGGTTACTGTATTACAGTCTTCTGTAGTAATATGTACGATATATGTATATAATATATGTGTAGTAATATGTATAAGCAGAAACCTCAACTGGTTGATATGCTTCTTGCTTTACCAGGTATGTTGTAATCTGAAAACGACTTAAAAACTAGAGATGCAAGGATAACCATTTTACCAATGTTGCCCGAAGTAACATTTTCTTACATGTTTAGCAGGTGTTTTCTTTCTACATACCAATGCAAGAAACAATTACAAAAAAGTGTGAGTGCTTATTTTGTGTGAAAGAAGAGAAGGGCCTGAAGGCTCAGAGTTTATTGTTGAAGCTGAGAATGAACAAGACTTCAACTGTCTAGCAGTGCAGTAGGCAAAGTCTGTCGTCACATCATGGACATTCTACAAAGACATGAGGACCTACTCTAAGAAGCCTTTAGACTGCAATGCTCGAAGAAAGAATGGCAGGTAGGACAAACTTAATTTACAATGATGGTACACCACCATTTAGAAGAGTGTTGACATGACAGGGATACAGGTAGTCTTAAAAACAAGAACACACGGGGACTTGTATACACGCATACACATAGACAATCTCATACATACAATAGGTTGAACTTGATGGACCTGTGTCTTTATTCAACCTCAAATACTATGTAAATATGACATAGGCCTAATAAAAGGTTTAAAGTCACACTGAGATTTTTTTTTACACACAACACTGGCTGCGTAAATTATTAAAAGGCTGGGTGTTTACGCTATAGGGCCGCTGCAATGTATAAAAATCTTACCTTGCAGCATGCCATCCCCCTTTACAACACCCAGCTTCTAGGCACTGAAAACAGGAAAAGACGCAACCCCGAGCTGTACATCGCTCTGATCGCATCACCTACCCCTCTTCACTATCCTCAATTCAGAAATTGTCTTGTATTATTTTTAAACGCTACAAGCCATTCTGTGACTGAAGGGAGGGGAGATGTCACATCCTCGTCCCTCCTCACCAATCACAGAATGGAAAAAGTAAAGTTTTCTTCAGGAAGAATTGAAATCACTAGTGCATTTTATCTTGTTGGAAGTATCTGGACATGAAATGCACATGCTGCACCCCACACTCAGGATAATTAATTGTTGCTTTGGAGCCAGAATTCCAGTTCTAATGCAGGATAAGAAATGTCTGCGCCAAATTCTAAAAACATGCTGCACCATTTTCCAGACTTCTACCGACTCCTGTGCCAAATTAAAGTACTTATTTGCGCCATATTTCATTCTGGAGCTGTGCTTGCGACAAATTCCATAAGTAAACTCCAACACTTTGGTAATACGAAAAGTGATGCAGAGCAAGACCAAGTACTTTTTAGTGTAACTAATCTGTCCCACTTTCATATTGTACATCTCTGTTGCAGTATGGGACACATACCTCAGAGGTGAGAGATTCCTTGAGACTGGAGGATCCAACTAAAAATCTGACTCGCATGTGACACTTTGGGACAGATAAATCCAAACTGATAAAGTACATAGATAAGTTGCTTCTCTGTCCAAAGTTGTCTCGCAAGCCAACACCAATTTCATAGGTTTGTGCCAAATTCATGAATGCTATGCAGCCTTGTACAAGAATGTGGCGCAAATGACACCATTCCAGTAACCTTGACACCCTTTTCTTATGTTTAACACTCTTTTTGAATTCCCTTGACTGTCTACAGGAAAAGGTTGGAAATGTGTGTGCTACATCTAAATTATGCTCCCTTGCAAAATGATCATGTGATCAATAATAAATGCACACTTATTTATAAGAAAAAAATGTGCATTTATTATTTTTTGGCATTGGAGCCAGTAAAGCATTGCAACCGTGATCAGAACACTCTAGTACCTGTAGATTGTTTAACTCCATGTTGATACCTCGGTAGAGATGGAGACTGCGTACAGGGACAGGAGGAAGACTAAATGGAGCAAATTAGTGGTGACATCAAACCACTTGTATTCCACTGAGATCCATGGTGACGGACGCAACTTGTCTGGATAAGGAATGTGTTCTTCCAAATACCATTCCTTTTAACAATTTAATGACCCGGGCTTTCACTCCCTTGTGGTACATTTGTAAAATAAGGCCAAACGAATGTCAAATAAGACACTCTTGTAACCAACTTAATATTAATCTCCTTCACAGATCCTGTCAAAGGATTTGTGATTGGATTATTCAGTTGTGCGGGAGGAGCTACGCCAGATTAAAAAAAATTAAGGAGAAGAACACTGCAATTCAGGCAAGTGTCTTTTCTGACATTAGTTTGGGTTATTTTACAAATGTACCACAAGGGAGTGAAAGCCCTGGTCATTAAGTTGTTAAAAGGAATGGTATTTGAAACATTCCTTATTCAAAATCTTTTTTCTAAGATTTGCATTAATGGCTGACCCCCAGCAGGCTCACGTACCCGTCTAGTAACATCCCTGAAACATTGCCTACAGCAAAGCAGTTTAATACTGTCAAGTTCCACGAGATTGTGTTCAGAAGTAAACCCGCACTCTTCCAGAACAGCTTTCAGGCCTTTTAGGTTGAACAAGAAACCATTTCAACTATTTGGTAAAACGTTTTACTTAGTTGAAAGTGTTTCTTTGTACTAAGTGAATAACTAGCTATGCACTCCCTGAGGGCAGCATAAGGTAAAGAATCCTTAAACACCTCTCGCTAGCCTTTTAATACAGGTACCATTTAACAGCCGCTAACTACATGAACAAAGCATCTAGTAAAACTGCCCATATACTTTTAGTATTTCAGACTTTCCTGTGACTCAGTCACACTTCTAACCACGGGTATCCCTCCCCACACCACCTGGCTCAACAAGTTTGATTGAAAAATTGAAAGAGCTGGGTAGAAAATGGTTGCTTGGCTGCAGTCAGCTGAGAAGATTCCTCCATGCACACCGTTTAGCTTGGATAAGGTAATCGAGTGGTTTTCTCTTGTTCGGGCCCATGGGCTGATCAAGAAAAAAAAAAAAATATGTATGGGACCATTTTAAAGTCCAATTAGCACAGACTCCTAATACATACATTCTTCAAACATCTGTTAACCTCCTGATTGGCAACTAGTATAAACTGAAATTCTATTTAAAAAAATCTGGATCAATCTTAGCCCTGATGAAGGGGGTGGTTCAGTCCCTGAAATGCCTTGGAATGTTCTAGTGTATTTACCATATATATTTCATAATATATTTGGACTATTAGTCACTTTTCTTGGTTAATTCTGTGTAGATTTCTCAAGTCGAATGATCCCCGTTTTACTGGAAAGGTGTTTTACCACAAGGGAGTAAAGATGTGTTCCACTTCGTGGAAAGCTGCCGAACTCTGGTTATCTAAGCCCCACTGTCCAATTAGAAGCAGTATTACCATATGGTCATATTGCACCCAAAGCTATACTATGATTTCACCCAGTTTTGGGTACACACAGATTGTGGTGTATATTGACTATTTTTTACCACTTATATAACATTGCTATGATGAAAACAAAATAAAATAGATTACCTTATAGCATTAAAGCATAGAAGGGACTTAAGCATCACTGGCAAAAAGCATCTAAAAGAATGGTTCGTACAATGTAACAAGTATTTCTAGTTATGAATGGAAATATAAGACAACAGCCATAAATTGGATGGATTCTACCATTAAGAAACTAGTAAAGGGTGCATTCTGCCTAATTTGTGTGTGTTCTACACTGGACTATACAGGCCACCGACTGGATATCAGCTTCCGACTCCCTTCTCTATTCTCCTCCATCTTCAGTTCAGTTGCTGCATTTAAAGGGGTTTTTTAAACCCCCAGCGGTTTTTGCATATATCTACTGTAGCAAGCAGTAGATATATGCAAAAACATAAAAAAACAAAAAACACCTTTTAAAAAGAGTTTAAAAATGTACCCGTGTCTTGGGCACGTGCTCCCGTCTGAACATCTGAACAGTCTCGGGCGGCCGCAAAAGGATCTTGGGGCAGGCGCAGATCAGATGTTCGGCCGGGAGGAGAGGAGAGACACAAGGTAAAGTCTATGGGGCAGCGTGCAGCCACACAGACTCCGTGGGACATCAGAGAAGAGGACAGAGGAGCCTGCGCTGGATCGGAGACCCACACCAGCGTTGGAGGAACAACTGACAAGGACAGGAAAGAAGATGATCGAATCAAGAGGCATCATTTAAGGTAATTCCCTACAGCAGGATTGGGAAGGGGAAAAAAAATACATCTGGACTTAAAAGGAGAACTATGGGGTTAGGGCTTTTCCCCATAGTTCTCCTTAGGGTAACGGGAGGACACAAACTAGCATCCTCCCGCCACCTTATTATGTCTGGATCTGCCCAGCTGCGTGACAGCTGGCTCTGCCTATCTAGAGGCAGAGCCAGCTGTACCCGCCCCCTCCCCCGTCCGATCCGCCAGTCAGCACTGGTGGATCGGAGCGGGGAGAATCCAGCCCCTCCTCTGTCACGGCAGAGAGCTGTGACAGGATCGAGAGGTGTCTCGATCTACTGAGCCGACCTGTGACAG